TAGCTCCTTTTGAGCCTCCTAAATGTGTTTTAGAGCATTTTAAATGTAGCCAAACTTTGTATAAGTGTGTTAGTATGTCCATGTAAGTTATTGGGAAATCGCTTGTTGTGTGATCGTTAACTGTTGGCATTTGAAGGTCTTTATGTAAAGTAATGTTTGTGACGTACCATGGGGCTTTAGTTATGGTCCTCAAAACTTTTGACTGAAAAATTTGTAGTTTTCAAGTTTATTTATTTCCAGCCATTTTACACCAATTTTCAAATTTGTTTGTCAGCTTAATGACTACACATCTGATTACGACGTTTCGGCTCGTTGAGCCATTTTCAAGTCTAAAATTTTTTTACAATTTATAGTCATATTTAAAACATTACATACTTCAACATATAGAGGTTCACTTCATATACCTAAAATACCAATCATGTACCTGTCCTTTTCAACTTATGCGAATTGCATGCGTCTAATCATGTAAAAAAAATTTATTTTTGTCATGTCCACCTATAATTATTTTATAACATTATTATTACTCAGTTATTTATTATTAAATGATTCAAATAAGTTAAAATTACCTTATGTTGTAGTTTTCATATATGGGTCATTTTGTCTGTCCCATAAATTTGTTAAGCGTAAGATCCACATGGGCTTAAGTAGGTAATTGTAAGTGTTCAGTTTTTGTTTTAGGTTTAATTTTGATCGTCTTGAAAGAAGTGAATATAAAAGTCGTTGTATGAGGTTTAACGTTTTTTTCTTTTTTTTTTGTTGATATGAGGAGTCATTATCATTCTTCTGTCGAATGTCAGTCCAAGTATAAGCTTAAAATAAAAAAATAGTATGTATTTTTTATATCTTTTATAGAATAAAAATAGTGAAATTACTGTCGTTCTTGACAGTATTGCCTTATATATAACTGATAAGTAACATTCTTCTAAGATATAATACGTCTGTTAGTATTGAAATCTTGACAAAAAATGCTCCTTATAGTCTGTGGACCAGATCTCTCACCCCAACATCTCTTTAAATTGCACAGTATTGTGTTTCTTGCAAATAAATATATCACTCTAAATATATTGAAATTACTGTAATCAAATAGTGACATGCGCAGAAACGACATTACTTTCTGGTTCTCCTAATATTATAATAAAAAAATATATACTAAAGAAAGGTAGTACAATAATAATAAGGCTTAGCGAACCCAAAGATTCCACATAGAATCTGGAAACACAGAAAATAGAAGAAATCCACATTCTTCCATCAACCGGGCTCCGTCTAACCCAAGTCTATCAAATCAGCCTTAATACAATCTTCGCTTTGGTCTACACCTCGGAAGCTTGCCAGTCTGTACAGCGCATATTAAATTTTTAGGAATTCTTTCGTTACTAAGCCCAGCAATTTTATATGTTCCAACGGATTAAAGGTAGGAAAAAATTATATTAAAAAATCCTCGGACATGGATCTAATATTGTTCCAACTATTATCACCACAAAAAGTTTCATCAAAATCGGTGATCCCAAGTCCATAGCTTCCTCTTGTTCTTCATTGAATAAATTAATAATAATAAGTGAAATCTAATCTATTCTCAAATTTATAAAAAAACGCCTGTTTTTATTTATTTTAACTAAAACAGCCTCCTTCATAAATATGGTCTTGAAGCATAATTAATATAAATGATAAAATAAGCAGTAATTTAGGATTCCTGTTAAAACATATAACTTCCAAAACTAAACTACTCCTAGTTAATTATTAACAACAAACTTACCTACTTAGCTAAAGTAAACATACTTAACGAGCTAATTTTAGGTACATAATATTAAACCAATATTAACATAGTTATTATAACCGAGATATTTTTATCTATATTTTCCTCACACAGTTCTGATCCTTCCGTCCTTCTTTTCCTAGAACCCGTTTCCCTCATTCCACATTCCTTTCATTTCTTCTTCCTCCCTCTTCATATCCCCTCTCTTTCTTCCCTCCACTCTCCTTTTTCTTCTCTTCTGTCTTCTCTATTCTATTTGAAAAGCTAAAGTTTTTTTAGTGTATTTTTCTAAAAAAAAAAAAATTACGGCATAACTAAATAATGTCATCTTTCTTTCAAGTGCTTCAAGGTAAATAAATGAACATATATAGTTTTTTTTTTTTTAATTTTATTTTAACAAAATTCAAAATTCGTATGTAATAGCCTTTTTAAAATTTATTTTAGTAGCAATACATGGCGATGAACTTTTAAAAAAGTATTAAAGTAATAAGACGTAAATACGTATTTGTGGATGCCCTTGAAGATATCGCTATGGTTATAAGTAACAGTGATATTGCTTGTTAACTGAGAACTTAATATGAGTTAAATATCAAAGGAGATGTGTACAATAGATTGTATAACTACCAAAGGTATCTTATTCCACAAGATACAATATTAGACTCGACATCATACAATATGGCACCAAATTCAATATCAAATTGACATTTTCAATATCAATGTTTAAACACTGAGATACCAGATATAGGTAGACGAACATTGTGATAACTTCAATACAACTCTACGAAACCAGTTCGTAAATTCGATAAATATATATATTTTTTTAAACATTTTATTGAGAAATATTACAATCTGTCTCAATTAAGGATACTTATAATAGAGTTCAGAGAGTACATTCATACCGTATGTACAGAAACATAAATAAAGTAATAACAGAAGGAAATAAAAAAATAACAAAAGAAAAAAATATATATACATATATTATATAAGTAATTAAAACCTAGTATAAATTACATATAAAGAGTATAAGTATCGAAAACCGCATATCGGAAATTTGACCCGATTGCAATACTTTCCTTACCTAGTATAGGTAGCGAAGCAAACAATTTTAATTTTACGTGTGCAATTTTTATATTTATTTTCCCCAAAATTATTAAGGAAAGTAGGATGACACTCCACACATATGTGATATGTGAATGGTGTGTCATCATATATATATATATATATATATATATATATATATATATATATATATATATATTTTTTTTTTTTCCTAGTTGACATTAAAGACCTTGTCAATCTTATCCTACCTTAACAAGTCTTCTCTTTCTCTGCCTATCTTGGGCTATTTCTTCTCAATTATCTACATGCAACTCTACACCACCTTTGTTGATTCGATCTATTCAACTGTTTTCTTCATCCACGCTGTTTCTTTGTTACTATTGATTCATTCATAATTGTGAGGAGGATTTCTGATGGATTGCTCCGTACCACATATCCCATCTGAACCACCTCGTCTTCATATAATGAGATATTGATTGACAAGTTTCTTTTAGTACTTCTTTATTTGCCCTTCTTATTTCTATACTCTCATCCTAAGACTCTCCTGTTATCTTACGTAGGATTTTTCTCTCAAATCTTTAACACTTTTCTTCTAGGATGCCGGCTAGTTTCCAGGTCTCTGCTATTAATGAACCACTTCAATATACTTGAAAGTAAGATGAAAGTTTGCTTTGCCCTGTACGAATACTCAGGTCTATTTCCGATGTGGAATCAAGATATTAGAATTTTTCTACCTTCAGAGACAACTTTCCTTCAATGCAGATCCTGTTATTGGGGTGAAATTTTCCTTTTTTTATCATGTATTTTGTTTTAAATTTATTTACTTTTAGGAAGACTTCCTCCGTTTTTCTTATCTGAGTCTTAGCGAGATTCTCAATGTCCTCTTGATTACTTCAAAGGACATCTGTATCATCTGACTATCTGCACCCCTTTATTTTCACGTTATGTTTTTATTAACTTCTTCAGCGATAAGTCCAGAACAACATCGATGAGAGTCCTGACGTATCCTTATTATCCTGCCAATAGTCAGTTCGAACTTTAAAGGATTCAGATACTTTTTGTTGTATTAAGAATCTACATTTCAGGTCATTTGTACATGCATTCGTCAATCTCACCACTAGCGGATCCAGGATTGAATTTTTGGGGGAGGGAGGGCTTCAGCCCGGAGGCTTTTTTTTCATAAAAATAACGATAATTACTTAGGAAAGAAAGAAAGGAACTAACTACCTATATCAAATGGTGTTTAAGTGATTCCTAAAGTCCTTTTAAATGTAATTACATGACTACAATAAGACCTATTTGGAATTACGGAGTTGAGCTTTGGGGCTCCACTAAGCCATCGAATTCCTCTCGTATCCAATCCTTACAATCCAAAATCCTTCGGAAAATCCTGAATGCTCCTTACTTTGTCACCAATAAAATAATCCATAACGACCTTAATGTTTCTTATGTTTCCGATTTGGCCCAATCCAGATATCTATCCTTCCATAATAAACTTCAGAACCATCCGAATCCTCTCGTCTCTAGCCTTGCTTCCTCTTCTATCCCCGATAACCCATCGAGGCGTCTGAAAAGAAAATGACCTCGAGATCTCCTATTGTAAATACATTTTTTTTTTTAGAGTGCTACCAGTGAGTAGTTTCGCAACAAGTGATTTCATGTAATTATTATCTGTTATCAAATTTACTAAATGTATTTTATTTATTAATACAGTTGTAAATGTCATAAATAAATTTTTTTTAAAAAATGTAATTACACGAACAATAATACTTTAAGAGATAATTTTTTTAATATTTTTTTTCGTAAAACATGGTTAGATTTTACCATTTTGGGGTTGGGGGTTTCAGCCCCAAAGCCCCCTCCCTCGTAGATCCGCCCATGAATCTCACCAACTCTCCGGGAACTCCAAGCTGAATTATCATATTCCAAATCGAACTATTTACTATCGTTTTTCCAGTACTTATTTTAGAATGGAGATCAGATCTAGTACCTTTCTTTTTCTGAATCTAGATTGGTACTCGCAATATTTTCGTAACTTAATATTGAAATAAAGTTTAGTATATTATTCGACTTTTTTTTTAAATAAATAAATCAAATGTAATTGCAACATTATTTATTATGAAATTTCCAGGCAGAACCTGCTCTGGTATTCGACTCAGTCTATGTGTTCGCTACTGGACTAGCCTCTCTGGAATCCAGCCACACTCTCAGGCCTGCCAATCTCTCCTGTGATCTTGAAGTGCCATGGCAAGACGGTCCTTCGCTATACAATTACATCAATGCTGTGAGTAATTCAATAATACTCTAATAAATTAGTTAATTAACACGTATTGAATAATTAATTGTAGAATTTTTTTTATTAATTTTACAGTATATTTACAACTGTGTTTGAACGCTTCTAGCAAATCGTTCGTTTTTTCTGTTATTTTTGAAAATTTATTCGCGTTGTGAGCAGATCCCAGGATCACTGCCTTTTTATTCTTCTTCGAGGTTCCTCTGGCAACAGGGAGAAAGAAAGAGAGAGGACAAGTTGATAAGGATGGTCAATAGTCGAAGTGTGAAATGTGGTGTATTTGTTATGTATGCATGTTTTTACTGTTGGAATGTTCATGTCGGTGTAAATGGTGTGATTCGAAATATACCAGGGTGCGTTTACGATGTTTTTGTATTTTGGACAGTTTGTATTTTGTTTATGTGGAAGTGTTTTGAAGAACGCAAACGTTCTGCTCCGTATGTCCAAATAGGTCTTAATATGGTAGTGTTAACGCCACAGCGTTAATTTATTTTATTTTACACTTAATTAGTTTGATTAATTGTTGATTTGTTTTATTTTAGCAAAATGAAATCAATTAATAATATGTATATTTATTTATAAGATATGTGTATATTAAGTATTATAGGCCCATAGCTTATATTGTTTATATTAAATAGATCAATAGTTTATACTTAGACTACTTTGTTATGGATTGTAGCACTAGCTATAAACAAGTGCTAGGTTCAAGTCATAAGGCGGTAGAATTGACAATAGACAGTCTGACTCCGCCCGTCACTGAGCTGAGTACTGCCAACTTCAACACTGCCCACTGCAGTTCTACTGTAGTTAACGAATCGGAGGCAGTGGAGACTTTGTAAATAATGGTTTTTATTCATAATGTTACAAATGGCATCTAAAATATAATATAAGTAATATAGTATGGATCGATTGGTGGTGTCGGCATCGAACCTTCGGGATCGCTAAGCCTTTTATTATTATATTATTAATATAGTATGGATATGTGAGTTGACTACATGAGTTCACTCCAGGTCTCCTACAGTGAAGAGTCTGGCTCAAGAATGCAACTACAAGAGTGGTTTGGTCTGAGGATGATAGGGGTTATATGCTCAGGAATAGTAGGGGGGATGAATCAATTCTGGACGGTCTAGGAAGAGTGTGAATAAAGTTATAACTATTAAGAATTGATATTCTTATCTTTTAGAATTGATATGAAGTCTGTGAGAAAGTGCTCTTTTGCTGAAAAGGGTTATTGTTCCCTAAGTCTTGATAAGTGTCTTCTGTCCAGTCAGTACATTCTAGATAACTATTTCTAAGCTATCAGAGATAGCTTGACCTGGCTATCTAGGGCTTTGATAAACGTCATGAGAAAGGTCAATGAGTGATTAAATGATTAAATTAAATAAAAGTTAACATTAATAGTTGTTACGGATTAAGTCCATTCCGTAACTCTGTGAAGAGACTTACTTCTCTCGTCGTGCTCGCCGCTGCCCATTGCAGTTCGTTTTGAGCACGCTCATTGAAGAGTTACAATTAGTTTCTGCATAGAGACAAAGGTTTACGAACGTCCTGCTTCGTCCACGTAACGTTGTACAATCTAATTATTTGTTTTATATATATATATATATAAAACAGATAATTACTATACAATTAAACAATACAAACAAATAAATATTATACAACTATTAATATTAACTTTTATTTAATTTAATCATTTAATCATTCATTGACCTTTCTCATGACCTTTATCAAAGCCCTAGATAGCCAGATCAAGCTATCTCTGATAGCTTAGAAATAGTTATCTAGAATGTACTGACTGGACAGAAGACACTTATCAAGACTTAGGGAACAATAACCCTTTAAATTATATATATATATATATATATATATATATATATATATATATATATATATATATATATATATATATATATATATATATATATAAATTTCGTATTGGGACTCTAGAGAAGTTGTTTTTTTTTTATTGTAATTTGGGCTATAGAAATATTTTTTTCTTTTATGATCAAGCATGAAAATATTTCATTAATATTGTCACAATTGTTTGTTCAGCTGGTCTTTATTTTTTGCTAGAAGTTTGTTTTGTTTTTTTTTACCTATCTAACAAGTGTTAAATTGATTCATTTTGTTTTTATGTTTTCAATATTTTTTTTTCTTTTTTTTTTTTTTTTATTGAATGATAATACAATCAGCCACTGTTGGAGGGCTATAAGTATTAAGGCTAGAAGTTCTCATTCATACAGTATATACAAGTAATACAGAAGTAACTATAAATATAAGAAATAAATAAATAATACTTATAAAAAAAAGTAAATCAATAGGAAAAAAAATAAATAAACAAACAAAATAAAATAACAACTTCTAAACACATTCATACCTATATACAATATATACATTCGCCCAGGAATCTCCGAGCCAGGCTTTTCTCTCCACATGTGGAAAGCAAAGCAGGACTCCAGAGATCCCAGTGTCACTTTTCCAGCCGCATCATTAGTATTAAAAGCCAGTGGAGGCTGAAGGAGGGCACTAGAGCCACATATGCTCAGGACTTGAGTGGAGAAGCTGGCCATTGCCAGGACTCCAGAAGCATATTTACAATAGATCTCGCGGCCACTGCCGGTTTTCAATATTAGATTTCGTAAATGTTCCAAAATAAATGTTTGAAGATACAGTCCACTTTTATTCTTTTATTAAATCACAATTTTTTTTATTTTATTTCTTAAAGACATTTACAACTGTATTAAATAAATACATCTAGTAAATTAGAATATAATGTATATAATGACATGAAAAAAACAGTTGCTGAGTAACTACCCAATGGTAGCACTCTAATAAATCACAATTAAATAGTTAATCTTCATTCGAAGTTTGACATAAACTAAGAGGGAGCTAACAGGTGATGTAGATTAGTCGCTTGTTTTCTAAGTTGGGGTGAGATCTGTAGTCAAATTTAATTTATTTTAAAAAAACGAACGGAGGGGATATTGGTATCAGAATTGTCGGTTTTTATTGAGTGGGTATCGTTTCCTGTACTTCATTAATAACCAATTAAAAAATATCCAAATATTTCCTCATTCATCTTCCAATTAACACCATTTTTTTTATTGTTTTCTCTTCATAAAAGCTTGATATAGAAACGAAAATAGGATTCTTGGAAGGTAATATTTCCTTGATGGTGAGTGTTCAACGTCACGAATGGATCCAGGTCTTGAGGTTAATTTTTGTTTTAACCTCTGCTTTACTGAGAAAACCGATCCATAGAAAACCCAACACTCTAATATCCGTTACATTTCTTCGAGTCACTTCCTTATCGATACAACCAGTTTTCACATAAAGATGTAGAACTGAGTAATTAAATAAATTTTATATTTTCATTCCTGCCTGAATAATAAGTTATAACATATTTCCAAAGATAATCAGCGTTGAAAAAATTGGTAAGGGCTACGTCAGGAGGCTAAATACATAGTTACGTCATGGATAGTTACTGAAGACATAATTACGTATTTTCTTTTTTCAGTGTACTTCTTCAGGCATGTTTTGTACTTTTTTGAAGAGTATGAGTTAGATTAAGCAATCAAATCTGCGGTTTGTAACGCTAGGGTAAAGTCAGCTTGAGTCGACTAATTGAAGAGTTTTTGCATATAGGTTAACACATCTGAAAAACTAAAAATCGGACCTACATATTGTTAGCAAGAGAAATGTTCATCATTTCATTCTCTTTGTAATGAGCTATTATTCAAAAATTTATCTTAACGCGACGCCGTGTTAGGGAGGCGAAAACGAAAAAAATAATATCAAAAACGTTTCATAATATTTAGGACCGGTTTAAAAAAAAATACATCATCGTATTCATCAGTTTTTTTATTTAACTGTTCAATTTGAAAATAACCCACACGCAAGTCATAACTTATATCCAAAAAATGTTTTTCCTTTCACTCTCTTGTCAGTGAATATACATATTTACTGTAAAATCTGAGATATTAAAATTTATAAAGTAGATTTCGAGATGTTTGAGAATATCGCCGCGGTAGACACAGCCCACATCCCTAGTCCCCACCATACATTTAGGAGTATATTTGCTATTCGCATTTGGTCTTACCCAGGTTGATTTTCATACTTCCGGTTATTTCTTCTTAGAGAACGATTATATTTCCTAAAATATCTCGACCTACATTTTGGACAAGTTTCATAGCGCTGAGATTTCAAACAGCATAGGTAATCCACAAACCATTCCTAAACTCTTCGATGGAATACAGTACGCTCTCTAATTTGACTACTGAATGATTTACCGATTCCATCGCTTTTTGGGGTTGAATGTAACCTCAGTGTTGTTATTTCTCATTTTTCTTCTCATATTTATATTCAGTTTTATTTTTATCAATTTTCCGCTTGAATCCATCAGGTCGTTCCTAAGCTCAACTTAAATTAACCAACAACCTAAATATTGACTAGCCCCGTTTAAGCAGAAAATTATTTTTTTTTTTTAGTTAGTTTGATAAATGAAAATTGTGCTTTTCAGATATTTTGAATAGTATTGATTGTTGTACCGGCATCGGAAGTTTTATTAAATTATCTTTCCAAGAAGAGAAAATGTTGAAAGCTCTCCTGTATAAAGTTTTCCTTCTTCATATTGCGGTTATGATCAATCCATCACGTTGTAATCTGGAAGTTCTTGTAGTTCGAGCACGTACTCGGTCGTCTTATCCTTTTGAAGATTTCCTCCCGGCGGGGACACGGCTCTGGGAAATTTTATCGAAGAGGAGTTCTTTCTCAATAGTATAAAATTTAGTTTTAACATGTTAAACTTTTTTTTACTTATTGTACAATATAAACCTTTCAGCTGACAGAATGACTAACTTCAATTCCAACATTTTTGATTATTAATTTTAGTGAGAAAATTTATACCTTTATTCACAATTCTATATTTCAACACTGCAATCGCCTATTCTGGAACCAACTAACACACTGTCTGTATAGATATTATAAATTTT